AACATATTTATGGAATGACGTCGCAGGCACAAAATAGTGATAAATTCCATAAAGTTTATTATTTAATAGACTGTTTTAGTAATACCACTTTATTGACTGAAGGAACATAACGCAGCCAAGTGGAGTTATGTTATACGATCCATAAACAACAACGTAAATATTTACAACGCTGTTATCAACTGATTCTGTGAAACTAGAAACCCAACTGGCTTGGCATGGATATCACAAAGTACTTAGTAATTTTTTTGAAATTTTTTGCAATCATGTTATATTTTTATTTAATAGCAATTTCAATTTGTCACAAAATCGTAAGAAATATATTCACAGTCGAGAATTTTTATTTCCTACCCATTTCGATGATATATTATTTAACGCTCACATTAACATTAGGTACAAAACTTGTCAAAGTAGCATATTATATATAATATGAATCTGCTCTTATGGCTATATTTTGCTGTACGATATTAATCCTAAGTGAATTAAGTTCTTTAACTGTACAGTGCACAAGGCAATTTTTTTTGAAAATTGAATACCCCGAAACAAAACGACTGTACTTTTAAACCTCTTTAACAACTCCATCTATCGATTGATATAGTAAAAAAATATTTTTAGTTATGAGATTACTAGCTGTCGCCTGCAACTCCATCCGTGTGGAATTAAAAAAGACATAATTTTTAAGCTATATGTTTTTCTAAACTTTGTTCTACATCTGTGCCGTTGGACCGGTCTGGAGATACATTCAAACATCCATCCATCTAAACATTCGCATTTATAATATTAGTATGATCACATTGAAACAAACAGACGTAGCTAAATACCATTATTATGTTTATAGTGAATGTGTTGTTCTTACGTTATTATTGAGTACAGAAGCTAGTGGCTATAAAGATAAAGTTTATTATCTCACTGAGACGTATTTATGTCTGTGGTCGGTTAAATCTCATTTCATTGTCTACAACTAGAATTATAGACAAGAAAGTTAGTGAAAAAAAATGAATAAAAGGTTTTTTATGTGTAAAAAGTTTTCATTTGTCTTATTTTAGCCTTAATTTGATAGAAGGAAGGTTTAACTTTGGGTTTCTGAGACCAATATCTCCGTTTAAAATTTTAAACAGTGATTTAAGTCTCAGAAACATACAAATGGCTTATATGTAGTATAAACCGTGAAAAAAACTGTCGTAGAATATATTAGGGGTAGGTCTTTGATAACTATTTATGAGGATTATTTTATGCTAAACTGTACACCAAATCTCAATGTCATCATTAGCTTTAGTCATCATCAGCTCACTATACGTCCCCACTAAGGGGCTTGGAGCCTATACAAAGTTAGGAGTGACTAGTCCATAGACAACTAAGCTGGACAATTGCGGGTCGGTTGACTTCACACATATCTTTTGAATTTCTTCTCAGATATATGCAGGTCGCATCACGATGTTTTCCTTCACCTTAAGAACGTTGGATAAATGTACATATGTAAATCGAAAACCGAAAAAAACATTGGTACATGGCAGGATACGAACCCAGGACCTGCAGATTACATGTCAAGTGCATAAACTCTGAGTCACCGACGCTCTCTCAAATAATTAGCACTATATAGTTTTAAAATATAAAATCATTATAAAATATAAAGCGCAGTTTTCCATGTCAGTTAACATTATAAAAACTTGATTAATCCCAATTTAATTTTGCCTGACGTTTCTTGCTTCAAAAGCGTTACAATCTAGTTTTTATCGTCGGAATGAATCGTGGGGAGCTCTTAATTAAAATCTAGTTTAGTTTCAGTTAATTCTACTTGAGCTAATAAAGTATGTAAGGAATTCATAATTAGCCGTGGATAATATGACGCGTATAAAACCTTGTTGAAATCTTACTTGTTAATTATTTTACTAATAATATAAATTAAATTATTCAAACTTTCGTGAGACATTATACTAAACTGATATATAAACACGGCTAAACAATCACGTATATTCGTCCGGTTGCGGCACCGACTAGTTTCGAGCCCATCGGGAGCCCTTCATCAGGATGAGTGGTACTGGTATTATTTCGCGGACGCGGCCCGTCGCTTACTGACGATTCGTCGGTGCCGCCACCGGACGAATATACGTGAGTGTTTAGCCGTGTTTATATATCAGTTTAATTTTATAAATGGAAAGTTCATATGGTTGTTTGTTATTTGCTATCTCCATAAAGGTAAGAAGACATAAGCTACTTATCCACCTCCCTTTCCTAACCTTTTCTCATACTCAGAACTATACTCCTCTGGCACGCACACTGATCTGACGATACACGGAATTATTTCCACTTCAAGTCTTGTGTATAAAATTTTAATATTTATAAACTTACGAACATTGAATTTTCTTAAATGTTTATATCCATTTTATGATTAAAACGGATCGTATCAATAAAAAATACTGTTCAAGTATATTTTGCACTAAAAAAAATGTGTGATAACAATGAATAACATCAAACATAAAAATATGCCCCAGTGAGTATTTACTACAAAAGTGGTTTCATACACTAAGTTAAAACTTAGTAACAAGTAATATTCCGGTATTTTATGCGAGGAGAAAAGAGCAATATAGCTCAGTAGTGTCTCTTGACTCCACTTGTCTTTTTATGTCGCAACTCACTCGGCTTGGATTCGCTCGAGCGCGATGTCAAGAAAGTCAAGCCTCTCTCTAGGCCTGTCAAATAGTTATTTTTATGCTCAACTTGTGTATTATGAAGATTCAAATAGCCACAAATATAATGCTATTAATATTTTAAGTGTAGTTGTATTGCTCGACTAGTTTGGATAAAATAAATGATATTTAATTCATAGGCTTTTTTCTTTTAATTCTGTGCTGACGAAGTCACGGGCGACTACTAGTGTGTGATTGTATATATTTATGTGTAAATGTTCCATTATAGCTTTTACGGCTTGTCTCTTGTATTCTAAACATTATAATAAGACGCAAATGATTTATACTGTTAAGATTTTTCTCCGGAACAACATTAAAAAAATTTGATTTAAAATCAATAAACTACGTATACTTTAGAGAAATTCTTCGAATTTTATTGGTCACGATCAGCTCTTAAGTGGTTCAGACGTGCGCTATTGTACTTTTCCTTGGATCTATCATTATGAAGAGACGTTTCGAGAGTTTCTTATCTTTAAACAACTTTAATATACGCTACTACTATTATTATAACATAAATAGAATGAAGACCAGTAGACTAGAATAAAGTTTTGATGTATCAGCTCTTAGTTCTTAGTTTGAATTCAACCGAAGCAATTTTAAAATATTTTTTAACATCATACTTGCATGAGTAGTCCCAACTATTATCGGAAAAAGTAAATAATCTTACTAATATTATAAATGCGATGTTTGGATTTATAAATGTATGGATGTTTGTTAGCAGGTATGAGCAGAACAACTCATCGGATCTCTACAAAAATTTGGCATAGACGTAGATCATAATCCGGAAGGAACACATTGACTGCTACTTAAGTTTTTTTTATTTCCGCGCAGACGGAGTCGCGGGTGACAACAAGTATCAATAAATTGAGATAAATGTACCCTTAACGATATAAAAGGTGATAATAAAAATTATCTTTGAGTTGACATGAAGGAATATCTTTAGTCGTTGGATAAAAACTTTTTCGTGATGCGTTAACACTAGATACGGCATGATTCATTCAGCGTACAATATTTCTAGAAGACACTTCGTTATAATTGTGTGAATAGTAACATTACGTCTGTGTTTAAAAATAGACAATTATGTAACAGAATACGTAATGTAGTGAATTAAATAACAACAATAGAAGTAGCGCTTCAGATGATTGAAATTAACTATACGTAATTCCTAGTACATAATGTATAGGATATTGTTTACTATAAAGTTTAACCTATAAATTATTAGAAGTTATGTACATATATAATACAAAAGTGAGACAAACTTTCAATAGCTTACGAAACATGAAAAAAAATATACATGTTATTTTTTTATTGATAAGGTAAATATAAACAAACTTGTATATTGTAGTGAAGAAAATTGCAATATACAGTATGTTTTTTTTTGTTGAAAATGAAGAAGAATCATCCTTAATTCTTATACTTCATGTAATCTCAATTATTAATGTAACACGCTATAGACAGTTTATCAAAGAACTGATAACTATCTAGTCAACACTCAAATATATAAAATCAATTTAATTAATGTTTAGACACCGCATGACTATGTTTTAGTGAGAAATAATGAAAACTTTTTATATTTTCGTACTGTTTACTTTCTTAATCTATGTGGAAGGGATAAAATTTACGAGATGCAAATTAGCAACGGCCTTGCAAAAGACGAAACTGATTGAGAAGACATTTCTCGGTAATTGTAAGTATGATGAATATTTTAATAATTAAATCTATACTAGTTGTTACCTAAGAATTATGTAGAGCTGTTCTCACTTGTGATGCAACGGATACAACGGAGGAATCTATTAAGAGTATACATACAATAAGAAGGAAAAACGCATGATATAAATAAATAAAAAAAAATACTGTATATGTGTTAGGGTTGCCAACACTATCATCCGCTCTACTACCGAAAATCGTGTATTAATTTATATTTAACCTCAATATCAAAGAATGGATGAAATGTTAATATAATTTGTTAAGGAATTTCGGCCAGAAGACATCCCTCCTTTTCGTCAATCCTTCATAGTGAGGAGGGGGGAGGGGAGGGGACGCGCAGGAAGACAGTATTTTTCCTTTCCTATACGTCACATTATAACGTTAAATATTGTTAACAAACGGTCGTCCGCGACTTCATCATCACCAGACTATTTTCTACATCTATGTCACATTTAATCCAGATCCATTATACCGTTTTATTACTGATAATCATCCATCCATCCAAATTATCGTATTTATAACGTAAGATTCTGCTATATAGCTATAAACATACCAACAAGTCTACCATTGACATTGAACTTTACAATCGTCAGTACTTTACATTAGTAATCATGCGTAGCGCACGTGTTCTTGTTTTTGTGATATATATTTTTACCGTACACATATATGCGAAAAGATTCGAAACGAGATGTAAACTGGTTCGTGAATTAATGCGTATTGGTGTACCGAATGACGTATTCCTCGGACAATGTAAGTGTGCTATTAACATTATTAAATGGAAAAAATGCTCTAGATAAAAATCTAATTAATTTTAATTTATTGATATTAATCGTTCTTCAACAAAGTCTTGACCTAAGGCTATATTTCTTTCTATCTAGTTGCTGGTATTATATTAAATACATATTTATTTATCGGTGGGAAAAGCATACGGTTTCTGATTTTATGTGATCATCATTGCACACACACACACATACATATGCACATATGTATACGCGCTAATCATCCTGAGTCCGATACACCGGAGACGTAGCTACCATATCTGACGGTATCGTAAGCCATTTTATCCTCATTAAAAGAAACAACAGCAAACCCAAGGTTTAAATTTCCGCTATACATGTGTATAAACATATTGTTATCTCTGATTAAAAATAAAAAAGAAAATGATGAGAATATGTTATCCTGCAATATTTTAAAGCGATTTTGTTTCTTCGTAATAACTCTAGAACTGCGTCGCACTTACATAAATTAATTGATACCAAAGTACACTAAAAAGTGTCGAATAAGAGGTCGTCTAAAATCCATTTATATTTACGTAATTTTATTACTATTAGGCATTGTTTTTATTCAGCTTTGATTAAATCGTACGGCGCTTACCTACACATTAACATTTAGGAATAACTTATAATAATTTATTTAAGACGTAGACATACTTACTATTATTTCCCACTACGTTAAAAATAGACGAAAAAATATTTAGTTTATTCATGTGATTGAGACATACTTTTATATTTCTTTATTAAGATTTAAAATAATAGCTAAGACCTTTTAAACTATATTTGTGAAATGTATAATAGATAACTAGCCGTCGCCCACGACTCCGTCTGTGCGAAATTAAAAAAAAACATAATTAGTAGTAGTAGTAGCCTATGTGATCTTCCAGACTATTTTCTATATGTATGCCAAATTTCATCCGTTCAGCAGTTCTGTAGATACCTTCAAACAAACATCCATCCATCTAAACATTCGCATTTATAATATAAGTAAGATATAAGTAAGATGTGCTCACGTAATAAATACACATTAAACTTTATATAAATCTGGAAGAGACATTATACATTTCTAGCATTTGATATTCTAAATTTAAAAAAGAATGATGTAGCAATGTTTTTTTTTAATTTCCAGGGGTTTGTTTGATAGAAAAAGTGAGTAACAGAGATACAAGAGCTATGGTTGTTACTCCCAGTGGTAGAAAATACTATGGATTGTATCAGGTTATTAAAAATAATTTCAATTCAACCTCAACTTTTTGTTCATAAACTTAATTTTGTATTTATTTTATATATTTTTATAGATACCCAGCAGGTGGTGCAGAGAAGGGAAAAAGGGTGGAGAATGCAATATAAGTTGTGAAGGTGAAAACTTTTTAAAATAAATTGTCGAGGTGTATTTAACAACTGTTAGGAAGAAAATCCGACACTGTGCCGGTGTATTAGCGCAACACTAGCCTTACCAAATTGTCGACGTTTGTGTCCCCTCACTAATCATTCTGACACTTGACTTTGTAATGAAAGCGCGCCATCCGCGCCAAAGGATTTCAACTAATAATGTCTAAAATAAAAAACTTTAAAACTTTGAAGTATAGGTCACTTTTATCCTAAACCGAAAAATACTAGAACTAAAACAAAGAATTTATTATAGTATTGTTAATTATATGAAAGAAAAAAAACACACTACTTTAAGATCCAACAAAACGAAGACTCAGATATATAAGAAATGATCTTTTCTTGAATTCAAATTTCTCTCTAACATCAGATTGATAAGCAAAAGTTCAAATGTTCTGTTTCAGCGCTTTTAGATGATGACATTCGCGACGATACAGCCTGCGCTATGGATATATTCCATAAAGAAGGTTTTAAATATTGGACGCAATGGACGATAAGATGCAAGAATGATAACTTGATTACAAACGAAATTTACAAGTAAGTTCTAACCGTCCTTTTTATATTCTTCCTTTAGGCCTGTCTTTCCCAAAGTGGGCGATAACGCCCCCTTGTGGGCGCTGCAGGTCTCAAGTTGCGGGTTATAGTAAAAGTTTCGTTTAGAAATCTCCGTTAAGATACATAAATAGGTCACAGTAATTAATTAATTTAATTTGAAGTTATAGTGGTTTGAAATATGTGAAAATATGGGGGCGCTGAAAAAATATTTATTCTCAAAGTAAGTCAAAGGGCAGTAGACAAAATAAGTTTGGGAAACACTGCTTTAGGCTAATCATGCGTTTCTATACAAGTAAAATTAGTCATAAATATGTTTTTAAGTAATGCAAGTTTTTTCTAAGATTTGAAACAGATTTGACCTTTTTTGAAGCATGTAGATATTTGCAGTTTGAATTTTTACCGAATGTTGTAAATAAACAAAAATAAGAAGAGACTATTTGAAGAATTTATAATACACTATGATTAGGTTTAGCTTAATATAAATTGATTTTTAATTCCAGATGTCCGGATTTGCTGGGCAAAAAACCACGGTCAGAATTCTGGAACAGAATGAAACGTATGATAGCTAGAAGTACTAGGAATCAATCCACACTTGCCGAGTATTACAGATTATATTGGATACAATAAAGCTACGTAAAAAAATTGAGTTTAATTACATTTTCAACTATACTAAAAAGGTTACTGGAGAAGTGGGTGAACTGGAGTAGCGTCAGACTAAACTTTATCACAATCCACGTGGAATACCTACGTCCTTTTTTTTTCAGACGGGAATGCTTTAGGCATACTCCGTGCCTCGGAGAAGGCACGGTAGTTATGTGGAATTCTCTCCCCGAATGGGAGCATACCCACTAAACCCCTCTGTTCCCTCATAGCCATAATGTGGAACGCCACGGGATCGTGTTAACTTACCACCGCGACGCCCCACTGACCAGCCCGAGAATAGGGCTCCTCAATGCGCCCCTAATGGTGCGCTGCGCCCGTAGGCGCTCCTCAGAGACGACACCGTGCAATGCAGGTTCGGGGGAATACCTACGTCCTACAGTGCATCAGTAAATATTAAATTAATTTATTAAAACAATTTTTTTTTCTACCACTACTTTTCTAGTGTTTCACGTATTCATAAGGATATGAACTCTTCAAGTCATCTAGTTGTAAAAGTAATCGATATGTTTTTAAAAGTGAACTAATGAAATAAACTATGCACAATTAACTACTGGGTACAAAGATTTGACACTTTACGTACGAATTTTAGTATGTGTGATGTAAAATGAGGAGTGAAATTTTGCTTTAAACTTTTAAACTGCACGCGATGTGGCGGGAAACAATTAATTATTAATCATTTGAATTCTATAACTATCCAAAATTTAGTTCATATTCTTTAATTAATTTCACAAAAATTCTCCTATTCAGCATTGAACTTTGAAGCAATATTAGAAACAGTAAAAAGTTACATTGTTAGCAAAGATAAGTGTTGCCGTTCGCAACAAACTGTTAGCTAATACGGTTACACTTTGCTAAGTGAGACATAAATATTGGAAACAAATAAAGTCCGCAACTACTAAAATCTTTGCGGTTTGCTGCACATTGTAGATTTACTTTCCGAACATAAAATTGTTGAAAAGCGGAGATGTTATAAAATCAAACGTCCCAGAAATATATGTGTTCGAAAACATTTATTTACTTTCAACGTTGAGATATTCTTTCATTCTTCTCGTTATCTATCGATATTTACTAGCTGACTGCGCGTAGTTAAAATAAAACTTAATAAGTATTTATATAGCCCCTAATTAGCATATAGCCTATGTGTTCTTCCACACTTTATTCTACATCGATGCCAATTTTCATCGTGATCCATCTAACCGTTCTGGAGATACCTTCAAACCGACATCCATCCAACTAAATATTCGCATATTAGGATGATAAAGAAAATATTAAAGGACTTCTTACTCAAAAGTATAAGTTGTCAGTACCAGTTAGCTTTGCCTTTTATTACATTAAGGTAAACATTGTGTAAAATAAAAAAAAAGATATTCTTTGTTATTATCTTTATCCAGCTGCAATGAGAATTGTGAAGCACCTTAACAAATATTAACGTTGCTGAGCCAGCGCTCGAAATTCGACGGCTCGACCGCAAGAATACGAGCGCATCGCTAATTGCATATGCAAACCACACGCACAATACATGTGCAACTAAAAATAAATCTTCAAAGAAATCAAGTACAGGTTTTTTTCATAATTTCTTGTTAGAAGACGTACGTTTAGCTATTACAGGTACCTTTATTTATACCGTAGATAAGGAATTAATTTCATGTAAAAATAAATGAAAAAGAATTGATCAATTCCCACAGTACAGATTTCCAAAAAATAAAAATATTTAAGAGTACAGAAAAAATTTAATTTTCTTATTATAAGGTTTTCTTTACGGTTACAGTCCTATGCGGTAGACGCATGCTCATTTAGCGTATGTCTTTTAATACTTATGCAAGGTTAATACTAAAAGAGAAAACAATGGTAAGCGACATTTCGGTGCTTCTTAGTACAGTAAGCACTCTGCACCAACAATATAATTAAACTTACATACAAATTGAACATGTTAAGATTTTACAAAAAGAAAATTAAATAAAAACTATTTTGTATTATTTACAATACCATACTTAATTGTAGAGCTTGTGGTTTCGTAGTAAACATTTAAGCATTACATTCTTATAAACTCACGAATATCTTTAATTAGTTAGAAATATCATTGCATTTGTAACGGAATAATTGGTAAAGGAATTAAGTACTTATGTGTCGGTTGAAACTAGGAAAAAAGCCAAAACCCGAATACTTGAAAAGGTAAGCAGCAATGAGGAAGTAGACTATTTTACAATAACTAACTAACCGCTACAAAACAAATGAATTATATCCTAAAACTCCTTAAACTAAACCAAACTAAAATTAAAATTAAATAATATAAGAATCGACCCCAAATCGCTGCGCTCGCACGGTAGAGTTCCCAAGAGGCTGGCGGCATTTCCCAGGGGAATTGATAAGTTATACTAAAAATATGGTATTAAGGATATAAATAGTACAGGTACCAAAAAGCAATCCATAATTAAGTCTTTATTTAGCCTTTTTAGCATTATAAGGCATTAAATAACATATTGAAAGCTCGAAAACCTATCAATAATTTAAAAATACGTTCCATACTCGGCGTAGTCGAGCTTACCACGTGGCAGATTTATTGAGTTACAACGTAAACCCTCCTTCTGCAACTTATTGATCTATTTCATTTTAAAGGTAGAACAAAATTTATAAACCGAAATATTTTCGCGACACATTTTTTTCCAGTAAATGATTGAAATTATTTACTAATATGCCTCTAATGCATACGAATACGACTAAACATTAAAGCTTTTGTCATTATCATTATAAGTTTGTGTTTGTCCACTGCTGGACACGAATCTTTCCCAACTTAGACATGCTATGCATGTGATGTGAACAGCAATAAACTTTGAATAATCCAATGTTACTAAATTTTATCTTGCTAATATTATAAATGCGAATGATTAGATGGATTTGTTTATAAGTATCTCCGGAAAGGCTCAACGGATCTCGCTGAAATTTGGCTTATTTGTGTATCATAGTTTGAAAGTACACATAGGCTTATTAAGTTTAATTTCTCGCGAATGGAGTCGCGGGCGACAGCTAGTATTTAATTAAGTCTTTATTAAAACTTGTTAAATCAAATAAAATTGGTTTAAAAACATGCGAGGCTTATAATTTAATGTAAGTGGAAAGAGACTTATCATATTTTTATTATAAAAAAACTTCGTCGGGGAAACTAAAGAATGGAACCGTGAACCTTTTGAAGTATGACATTGATGAATAGTGGTTTTTGAGCGAAATAATGATAATGAAAGTGTGCTTTGAACAAAATTATCTTACGGAATAATATTGTAAGATATTAAACGTTTTTTGTATTGGAAATTATGTAATGTTTTTATTTTTTAGCAGATTTTTTTTTATAACAGAAGGGGGCAAACGAGCAGCGGGAACACCGAGGTGTTCTACGAGGCCCATGGACATTTGCAATACCAGAGGAACCGCAGATTTTATATATTTACTCAAGTAATAACTATTTATAACGCAAAGAGAATTTCTTAACATTGTAAAACAGAATATGCATCTAACATATTGTGAGAAATGTAAAATGAAGAGATGTGTTATTTATTTTCAACTAGCTGTCGCCCGCGACTCCATTCGTGTGATATTAAACTTAATAAGCCTATGTGTTCTTCCAGACTGGGCTCTATCTCTACGCCAAAATTCATTGAGATCCATGAGGCTGTTCGGGAGATACCTTCAAACAAACAACCATCCATGAAAAAAAACGTTAGTAAGATAAAAATGTTTTATAACGTTTAAAATATATTTGTATATTAATACAAAACCTACAACAGTCCATAGAAACATTTTCCATAGAATTAACTACCACTGAGTTAAAAAAAAATTTAAAACATTTCCAACCCATATTTTACCGAGAGTGCTAATCTCGTCATATCAAAGAGGTGTCAATCAAACAATTATAGTACAAAAGAACACTTGTCCCGTTCACATACATTTACAAATTTGATTTTTTTGTAAACATATATTTGATGAAGTACACTTCATAACACAATAGCATTGGATGTAAAAAAATAAAATTAAACATAAAGAAATAAAATATCAAGAACATTAAGTCCTTGTTGTGTTTTTAATACAAAGGCAACTAAATCAGGTGCATCTACAATAATAAAAAGAATAATTATTTGTATTCAAAATGTTTGTAACGAATAAACTAAAAAACTACAGCACCAATTTAAAAAATTCATTCAACAATAGAATGCTACATTAATAACGAGTAACATAGGCTTTTATATATTTAATATGAAATATTAAAAAAAGACCACTCTTGTGAAGCGGACACAGGCCTACAGAGCTGAATAAAAGCGTTTACTACTATTTGAAAATGGTAGATATATGATATTAGGAGCGTCGGTGGCTCAGGGGTCAGGCACTTGACTTGCAATCTGCAGGTCCTGAGTTCGAATCCCGCCATGTACCAATGTGTTTTTCGATTTCCGATTAACATATGTACATTTATCCGACGTTCTTACGGTGAAGGAAACATCGTGATGCAACCTGCACATATCTGAGAAGAAATTCAAAGATATGTGTGAAGTCAACCAACCCGCACTAGGCCAGCATGGTTGACTATGGCCTAATCACCCTTAACTTAGGGTAGGCTCCGAGCCCCTCGGTGGGGACGTATAGTGAGCTGATGATGAGATATGATATTTTATCTAAAAATATATAAAAACTTTTCTACTAGATTGTACCGATATTTGTTTATAAAAGAAAATCAAGTCCATCATTGTTAAATCACTGTTAAGTATCATTCAAGCATGGACGAAACAGTTCAAACGTTTAATAGGGTTCTTTGTTTTGCTGGAATATCTTTTTTCTCTAAAACCAATCAGTCATCTAAGAGATGGTTTTTATTTCAGATTTTGAATTTCATTTATGGATTTGTAACGGTCATTTTTAGCTCTGCTTTTGTTATTGTTAATTTCAATAACATGCTTCTGTGTATCCAAGGCGCTTGTATTTGGACGACTGGAGTTATCATGTGTACTTCGTTAGGCTTATGTTTGTTTTTTAAAAGAAAATTCCAGATCTTTCTTAACGAGATGGTATTCAAAGACTCTGTGTTAGATATGCCTTTGATTGTTCATGTTTTGGAAAGCAATAACTCTGGCCGATTGAAAGATTTGAGGGATTTGGTTTTAGAGTCTGAAAAAAAGTTTTTTAGGTTCTCTAGAATTTTGTTAAAAACGTACATCGTCATTGGAGTGGTTTGTGTAACACTTTATTTGTGCTGTGCCATTTATCAGATGATTACTTCGAACGACAACACTTTAAGATTATTAGGTTAGTAATATTTCGTGACAATCTGTGTCTTATGACGCAAAGAAAGGGCGTTAATATTGCAATTTTGTGTTGAATGAAAATAAGTTTAATTCCTAAACCAACTTACTTTTTATCTATTAACGTTTATACAAAATTTAGTTACGCAAGTATCATTCTTCTTTTGGTATCAATCACATTATTGTGTAATTCTATACCTCATATTCCATTAAGACTAGTACATAATTCAACCTTTTCCGTATAAACATAAACCAACTTATAACTTTTAATTATTTTGTTCCTTACATTATTTCGTTCTAATTGAGTTATATACACGAATGTAGTAACATACTCTTCTCGCCTTTTAGATCGTCGCAGATTTTACATAAGGCTTAAGAGCGTGTAATACAAAGCTGATTATCTTAAAAGGATTTTGATGCTTTGTCTAAAGAAGTCATAGGAATGTTATTATTAAGTTTACTACGCGTCTTGAATATTTAACAAATATTTTCGTATTGAATTTCATCTTATTTCATTATAGTTAATTAAATGTACCAAGATCTAGGTGCAACTTAAAATATTTTTTTCCTGACAGCTTTTGAAATGTGGTTCCCTTGGAGTTTAGAAAACTTTAAGGTATACGTTGCTACGTTTATATTTCAAGCTTACTCTAGTTACTTGTGTTGTATTGGTGAGTTCAAAATATTTTACGTCAGTAAGAAGTAAAAGACTTATTTACTCAGTTAACCTAATTTCTGTAAACCAATGATTATTTATTAATTCTTTTGAGGATATGCCCAAAAATTACAAGAATTGGGTCTATCTCCTAAATAGATTTGCTGTACTTTTTATATCAGAAGGCGGCAAACGAGCGAGCGGCCACCTGAAATCGTTGAAATAGCGAAGTGACCGTTACCCATAGACATATGCAATTGCATTTGCGTTGCCTACCTTTAATCGACGGAGGAGAGGATGCACAGAAAGAAAATATTTTCCCTTTCCATGCATCCTCTCATCCGGAAAGTCCACTTCCACCTCCCATCCTTTCCTTATAAGAAAAGCATATGAAAGGAAAGAGGAAAAAAGAAGGAAGAGGAGTAACTTTAATGCATGAAGTGACATTTTATTCGTATTGTTCCAAAAGTTTTAAAGAGTTTATTGCCAATACCCTTTATCTTTTTATAAGTAAACTCCTACTTCTTATTAGCCAACTTCATTTTGCTGTAGTAATCACTGAACTGGATGATTATTGCGGCTATTATTTTACTGAATGATACACAGTTAATTTTGTTGTATATATTTTTCTTTATTTTAGCAAATCCTGGACTTCAATCTATTATAATACTGTTAGTAAGTCAAACAATACGACAGTTGACGATCATTACGTTTATTCTAGAAAATTTGAACGAACTGTCAATTGAATTAACAGATAACAAGGAGAACTGGCAATACTGTTGTACTGATATTTTATCACAATGTTTTAAGCGTTACGTAAAAATAAAAAGGTTAGTAATTCTTTAATATTTTACTACCCGATTTTAAACGATTGTTAAATTAGATATCCAGCAATATTTGTAATAATTAGTAATATTATTTGATAACACAAGATTGCCATGAGCGAACATTTACTTGGTATCACGGAAATAGCGAAATGACAATTGCTCTTAGACATTTGAAAGCTAGTAGACGCTTTACCTACTTTCAATGGACAGAAAAAAGGATGAGCAGAAAAGAGAGACTAGATTTATCTATGCATCTCCTCCCTTGTCATAACCAATTCCCCTTCATTTCATTTCAAACTTAAACAAAAATGGATGGAAATATGAGTGGGTTATTTTATCTTTATGGTTAATGTGGATGTTTTTATGAATTATATTTTCAGATTTATAAACCATCTCAATGCTGTATGTCAGCCATTTTATTTGACGTTAATACTTGTTGCAATGATGTTAGTCGGTATGTGCTCCGTGAAAATAGCTGTTTCTGTAAGTAATGTTTTAAAGAGTGAATAATTATTATTTATATTAAACGCAAAATTTCACTACGGAGGTTCCTTGAGAGTAACAATATCGTTACAAAATATTTTCTTATGAAATTATTTGATTTGCTGGAGAGCACCACCATTCTTACTAATATTATAAATCCGAATATTTTAATGGATGGATGTTTGTTTGAAGGTATCTCTGGAACAGCTTTATGGATCTCGCTAAAATTTGGCATAGACGTAAAACGTAGTCTGGGAGAATACGTAGGCTACTTATTAACTTTTATTTTAATTCATGACGGACGGTGTCGTGGGCGACAGTTAGAAATAAAACAGTTTTGACAGAGATTTAAGTATTTAAGATATTATTAAGATTTTAAATGTATTTCTAATTTCTTTCATGTTATATTTACAGAATAAATTTTCTGCGGACACAATGAAATATTATGTACACAACCTTTATTTTATTCTTACTGTTTTAATGATATGCGTACTTGGCCAACAAGTAGAAAATGAGGTACATATTGCATTGTGCTTTTTATAAATATTTTTTAACAAGAAACACTACTTACATTTTTATAATAAGTTATATTATAATGTGATTAATGCTGGATATTGTTTTGATTTGTTATAGCATGTTTTCAAAATTAGCAACAATAAAATATAGTCATCCTTTTCATTTTCCTTTAAAAAACAGAGATAACAATAGTTTTTTGTGCACATATTTTGAGTTTGCAAAATAATGGTACAGTCAGCTGCATTATTATGTATACAATTACTAAACTTAAGAAAGTTGTTGTACAAAAATACATAAGTACGAATTCTTTCATAATATGTAATTATAGTCGGAAGCATATGGACGGATTCCGGTTTACTTATTTTTGAAACCGAAAGCGTATACTAGTTTATGAAGCTTTGGATATGTATACATATTCACGCAGCTGACTGTACGAAATAATCTCATAATGTAATAATTTCAGTGTGAAAAATTGGAACTGGCGATCACAGAAAAATGGTACCTGTTTGACAAGAAACATAAGACTGGTATCTTAATTTTCAAAATGGCCGTCAATAAGGGAATGCCGATGTATATTTTCGGATCGACAAGAATATCTTTACCAACTTTTACTTGGGTAAATTGTGAATGTAATATATTTACATACTCATCATCATTTTCATCATAATCATCTTTATCTGGTCCGACTGGACATAAGTCTTTCACAATGCCTCCCAAAATGTTCAGTTCTGCGTCTTTCGCATCCAAATGGAAGTCCATAGTCTCTGCCTACCCCTTTGGGTTACGGTTTAGAGTTATATGATTTAAATTTATGCAAATTGAATTGACTTTTTATTTTCAGTTTATTAAAACCGGCATGTCGTTTTTCACATTAGTAATGTCAGTGTTAGAAGGATAAATACAAAAGTATAGAATACAAAAAACTATAAACAACATAATAAATATTTAGACGAAAAAGTGTTTTTTTGTTACTATGAATAAATTAATTAATCTGATGAATAAATAGAAAAAGGGGTGGTTCAAATGAATCTATATTAGATTCGTCTAAACGTAGAACATAGTCTGGAGGAACACATAGGCTTGTAAATAAGTTTTATAAATTCCGCGCGGACGGAGTTGCAGGCAACAGCTAGTATATATAATTTGTTTTTCACATTCCCCTAATTAATGCTACTCGTAATCAGGAAATTGAAGTTCCGGTATGTCCAACGTCAACAATAATTTAACTTTACCTTCAAGTAATTATTTCACAAAAATAAAATCGTTTATATTCCCACTATACCCAGTAAGAACAAGTATGACAGTGCTTATATGCCAGTATCTTCATATATATAAAAACTTTGTGTACGTTTTAATACAAGTTATAGAAAAAACTCCATATTTAATTAGCTAACAAAAGTACAAGCCCCTTGTCTTTTCCACTTTTCTAACAGCGCACAAATTATAAAACACGCTCCAAAAGGTTTAGGAACAGATAAAAAAAAAGTTATATATTACTGCTATAAATTTACCCTCGCGTATGTAGATGTCACAAAAGTGTACTCTTTAACAACTTTATTTAATATATCCACTTTATTTTCTAGAGTTAATTATTAAATTATAAATTTCGTAGGATAATTATTTGCATATAACTAACATTTAATTATATTTACGGTTCTTTAAATTGAAAAAGTTAGAGGCAATGTTAGTAAAGGTGTTCTAGACTAACTTAATACGGATCAGGATTAATTTATTTCCTGATATAATTTCAAAGAGTAGGAAAAAATGGAAATATCACTTACAAGCATAAGAAAAAAAAAATATAGTATTGCAGTCAAGCGTAAATATTTTTCAAAGATGTCACATTACTTTCATAGATATCGTTTAATCAATCTAACTAATATTTTAAATCCGAAAATTTAGATGGATGTTAGTTTGAAGATATCCCCGGAACAGCTCAACAGATTTTGATGAAATTTGACATACATGTAGAACGTAGATTGGAAGGACATGTAGGCTACTTATTAATTTTTATACTTTGCGGAGTCCTGGGCGACAACATCATACATTTGTAGCAATGTTTGTTATAATTTATAATAGTTGGTTAGGAATTGTAGCAGTTTGCGGTGGACACGAATTGATTTAGAGCGCTCCTTGTCGCGTGCACTGCGCCACCAATTAGCAACCAGTTCCGCTTCTTGTGGTCACTAAATTGTGCTATGTTCTTGCATAATTATTCTAATGTTGCTACTGTCTTCATATTTATCAACATTAAAGTTCCCTTAGTGTATTTTGCCTGAAAATCTGCATTAAGAGTCGTCTTTAGTGACCATCAAAGGATAAAGTCCGGCAGCGTACTTAATACTTTATACATGGAATTTGTTAAAATGACATCGAAAAAGGTCATCATTGTGTATCGCCGTGGAATATAAGATTGGGGGCTATTTGGAATGACATTTGGATAATATGAAATGCAATGATCACCCGTATATGATAAATGTATATTTCAATAACCTTCATTTATAGTCTAAGGTAAGGCCGTAATTAAAAAATACTATCGTAAGTATTATCCTACTAGGTGTCGCCCGCGACTCCGTCGGTGCGGGATAAAAAAAATAGATAGTAGCCGATTCTCATACCTGCTCAATATGCTCACAAAATTTCATGAGAATCGGTCAAGCCGTTTCGGAGAAGTATGGGAACGAAAATTGTGACACGAGACTTTTATATGTAAGATTATAAATTAGCTGTTTCAACCTTTACTAAATTACTTTCTTAAACATAAATACTATTCGGTGAGGAAAAGTCACCAAATTAAAAGAAGTGCAACATAAATAAAACTGGCTTACTTTTGTCTTTTACGTCTTAGCTCAAAAAATACTACAGCGTCTCGAAATAAGGAAAGAAATAAGTTTTCGCCTCAGGAAATATTACTTTCGGCAACATTTAACTGAAACCGCAAATAAAAAGGACAAAACAAGACAATGGTACGAATGTGTTTATTTTGTAGGGATAAAGAAATGATGAATGAAAAAAAAGCATTTTGCAATAACTACGATGATGAGAAAATAGCTTCGATTCAGGCCAGGACTCTGCGCAATATTAAAAAAAACTTAATTAGTAATCTATGTGTTCATCCAGACTATGTTCTACATCTATGCCAAATTTCCTTACCTGATATCTTCAAACATACATCCATGCGTCCATACAAACATTTGCATTTCCAATGCTACTAGCGACATCTACCAAATTCAATTGTAAATCTGAATTATTTTAAAGTCATAACTATACATATGTATATACATACATAACGTACATATAAAATAACTATTATTATAATCAGACGCCTATTTCAGGGTATTTAGTTTAATAAAAGTGAGAATAAAAGTTTAAAAAATGAGATGGTGCCTTTTAAAAGACTTTCTTGTATTATATTCCTGTATGACAAAGCACGTTACTATGTTTTTTATTATCCTAGCCGCCATTGATCAGTTTCAGCGTAAGGTTTCCTTTATCGGATAAAATTTCATCGACCTAACACAGCCTGAAATAAAATATAGTGCTCGTAAGTTACACGCTAGGTAATATAACTTTGAAAAAAAGTAAAAGGTTTTAAATTTATACTTTACCTATGTACTAACGTATAATGAAGCTATCTTTCTACCAATTACTTTGCTTCATAGCTTAAGTTATCAACCATTTTTTTATAATGCGTAATAATAAACTTTCGTGGTTTTTACTATTATAAAATTCAATGGAGCGTTCTCGGGCTGCGGATATATTTTCAAAAGAAGGCTAACATTAGTTTCGGTTTATCATCATCATTATCAGCTCACTATACGTCTCCACCGAGAGGCTTGGAGCCTACCCTAAGTTAGGGGTGACTAAGGTCTTAGTCAACCACACTGGCGAAGTGCGGGTTGGTTGACTTCACACATATCTTCGAATTGCTTCTCAAATATGTGCAGGATAAATAATGTATATATGTAAATCGGATATCTAAAAACACATTGGTACATGGCGGGATTCGAACCCAGGACCTGCAGATTACAAGTCAAGTGTTGAAACCCCTGAGCCACCGACGCTCTTCGGTTTCGGTTGATATTAAATAAATAATAATTATACAGCATCAACATTAAAATGAATAAAAAAAGTTGCCAGTAATTTTATGACATAAAAGTATATAGAACTGTATTCTAGTTTATGTAAGAGCGTAGTCTCCGCTTGCTTAGTCTATAAGTTAATTTTCAGACGCTTAATACACAAAGGCTATTGGGCGCAAAGGTGAATGGCAAAACCACAAGACGAAGCCATAAATATAAGTCTTTTAGCGATACAAAATCACCATATTAAGTACACCTGTTACACGGAGATTAAGAATAACCCGTCAATATGCGACGAACGCAGGTCCTTCGTAAATTTTCGAAAACTGGAGAGTTTAGTCACTAAGCCTTTACTTTACTTTAGGTTTCGAAAATTTACAAACATAATTATGACAACCAAGCTGTTTAGGTCAAAATCTAAAAGACATAATCTTACTTATAATGCTATAAATGCGAATGTTTACATGGATGAATGTATGGATGTTTATTTGAAGGTATCTCTAGAACGGCTGAACGGATTTCAATGAAATTTGGCATATATATAGAACATAGTCTTAAATAATACGTAGGCTACTAATTATAATACGTTTTTTTTTTAATTCCACAAGGACGTAGTCGCGGGCGTCCGCTAATGCCTAAATAAATTTGAAATATAGGAACATTCTTTCTTAGTAGCAGTGTTTGTATTCCATTTCGAACAAATTTAAAAATCGAAAAATGGCAATAGAAATAATAATAATCATTTTTATATGATATATATTGCAGTATAATGATTTGTTTTTATGAGATTCAATTTTTTTAACTATTTTAAAGATATATTTATTTGATATACTTTATATTTTTAAATTCCTAATTGCAATTCTCTAAGACTGGACGTAACGACTTGTAATCACTCAACGCGACGTCCGGGCTTTATAGTTAGAAGCAATTTAGTTAATAGGATTTTCTTTTTTAAGTCTTCCTAAAATTAATTTCCAGTAAATGTTCAGTAAAAAAGGAAGAAGAAATTTGTGCGCATAATATTTTATGACCCTCTAAAGTTTAGGATCTAAATTAAATCATCTATGGTGTGTACAATGTAAAGACTAAAAATAAATTCTTCTACATCTATTTCAAATATCAGCGCGATCCAGCTGTTTTGGATACCTTCAACCAACCATCCATCTATTCATCAATCTAAACATTCGCATATTTATTTATTAAAACTTTCCTGTGACATTGCGTCAGACTAACAGAGTTCAACTATTTAATTGGTTTAAAATACACGTATTTTTAACACCGTAAAAATGTTTCGTGCGCAACAAAAATGGAAGTAAGTTTAATAAATTCAGTGTTTCTCGAAGCATTTCGCACAATCACGTGTTGAACGAGCCGTGAAAATGAACAACACCTGTGCATTCTGATATCCGACTAGTTTATATTCTAAACTTTAAGTTGTAATGTTACTTAGAAAAGTACATTACAAACTTTGAAAACTTTATACAATGTTAAACCTAGAACTTTTTTTCGAAGTGTTTTTTTTAAGTTTGTAAATATTTTTTCGACCTTATAGATAAATTACAAGATATTGCTAATCTGCTGTAAAGTTACTAATAAAATTGAATTAAACATTTTATGTGACTACTTCATATCGAATTTAACATTGAAATTCCACCGTCATAAAACTTGTATTTATACCCATATTTGTCTCTATTCTTTTAACGAAAATGTGAGGGACAACAATATGTTTTTAAACAGTGAAAACGAACAGTCATGTTACGTTTTAATACTGCAAAAGACATAAAACCTACGGGGCTGTTGTCGATACTTTCTCTGT